GCATTCAATTGATGGAAAACTGTCTATATTATTCACATAAAATCCAGTTCCATTTGTCTATATTATTGACATATAATACAATACAAAATGTACACGATGTTGTTATAGCATCGTCTATCCTTTCATGTGACAAGTTATTCCAATCCATATAACATACTCCCTCCATCCCAAAATAAGTGACTCGACTTTGCAGTTGTACTAAGATTAGTGCAAAGTTAAGTCACTTATTTTGGGACGGAGGGAGTATATCATACTATGAAACAGGGAGTGAATGGTATTGTCCATTAAAACTGATTACTTTTGACTTGGAAGAGGATAAGAATATAGATCAGTGTATTATTTTTGGCTTGTTGGTTCTTACTTCCAGGTCCAATAAGGCACCGTAAGAAATGTACAAGTAGCTAACAAACCAAAAAATAATATCTGACAAAACCATCGATATATGGATAACTCAGGACAAACAATTCAATTTAAAAGGGCGTGTCTAACTAAACAGGTAAGAAAATACAAATTTCATAATGCATAATCTTGATGCGCAGTATTACATTGTTAGGGTAGAGAACTATCATGTTGCATCGGTGTGAGCTTCAGAAAAGAAGGAACAATGAAGATCTCCACAAACTTGACATCTCAACACTTCAAAGGAAAAGAAGACACCCAATATAGTGTCATAAAACCAAGGTAAGCCAGTTTCTGAATAGAAAAGGAAATAAAACCTAATAACAATTTGGTTTTAAATTAAAGCTTACCACGATCTTAGTCAAGAACATCAAGTTGATAAAACAGCTACTTACAAACAGGGCAGGACTCATCCTCTAACTTTATTGTGGATAAAATGAATGCTCGTTGATAGTAATGTCATCAACTGAAACAACTCTTGAAGGTCCCTTTTTGCCATCTTCAAGCTTTCTGTCCCCATATTGTCCATATTATGTATAGCTTTAAACTGATTGTTTTTACACACAAATGAGGACAACATGTTTCGCCTGATAGAACAGATCAAACCAAGTTATAATTGAATTTGTAATCATGAAAAAACATGAAGAATTAGGGGGAAGAGTGTCAGCTTGACATGAACATGGAGTCGAATTAGATGCCACTAGTGCAGAACCGGGCAATAGCACCGGTTCGTAAGGCCCTTTAGTGCCGGTTCCATAACCGGCACTAAAGTGTGGGCACTAAAGCCCCCCCCCCCTTTAGTACCGGTTCAGCACGAACCGGTGCTAAAGGGAAACCACGTGGCACGAGCCAGCTCCAGGGGCCTGGAGCCCTTTAGTACCAGTTGGTAAGACCAACCGGTACTATAAGGTTTGGGGGGGTTTTAGTTTTATGATTTCTTTTTCATTTAATTTTGTGTTTCCATTTTAACTCTTTTTCGTTTGCTGGTATTTTACGATACTACACATTGTACACGTTATGCATATATGCATATATATATATATATATATATATATATATATATATATATAAATAGAATTTGTAGTAGAACCAATCATGCATATATATATCATCAATTAATGTCTCACAAACCATCATATTAATTAATTCACACATACACACATGTATAGCTATACACAATTTCTTCTACATATGCATGTTGTCTTCGGAGCCAGTGGCATTAGCCTAATTGGTGCCTTCGGAGCACGATGACAATTGGAAGTGGTTTTCATGAGGGCGGTAGCGGGTAATAGTATTCTCCCTTCGGATTTATGACCTGGTCGAGCAAAAATCCCGCTATTTCCTCTTGAAGTGCTTCTACGCGCTCCGTTTCTAGGAGCTTCTCCCGCACCTCTCTGAACTGTTAAGAAGGAGATCAATATGCATGTGTATTAGTTGTGTGACTAGATATCGATAATTGTGTAAAAATTGTGAATAGTGTTTTGACAAGCGTACCCATTCCTGTCTTTGAGATCTGCTCCTTTCGGACGCCATCATGCGAATGTTCTCGCAAACGCAGAATGCACACAGATCAGTCCCCTGCCCTGCTTCAGGGCCTTTACGAGAATGGAATTTGATCAGATAATAATTAATCAAGCATGATAATTAAAGAGATGGCAGCTAGCTAGCTAGCTAGTACTACTTAATTACTTACCTTGGGTCTTCCCCATTTAAGCTTTTCTTTCCATTCGCCTTCCGTGACGCTGATGAATATTGCCCAAGCCCTACCCGCCGACAAAGAAAATGAATAAAGGGGTTATTAAATAGTTCATATCATGAAATGACGAACTAAATAGGCCGAGATATATAGTTAATAATGATTGAAATTACCTGTTGACTATCCCAAACAAGATGTTATAGTCAGTTTTTTCATTATTCTTGTTCAAAACATTTATTTAGTAAAACAAAATGTATGATGTCAATGCTTTAGGATGACACTTTTAGATTCCTAGTTCATTAACTTGTTGATTAGCAAACTATTAAGGAAATATTCACAAAATCCTTACTCTATGATTAAAAGACGATGAAAATTGTGCATGACTTTGATAATATATAATGAAGTGTAAATGCATAATCTTATTTGACTGCAGTCTAATAAATAATTATTGTCATCTATCTATCGTTCTATATCGGTGGACATATTGGGCTAGATATCGGCCATATCGGTCGATATTTCGGTCTATACCGGATGATATGTTAGAAAATGATATTTACAAAATAATATGTTATGTTTATAGCGGTAGAGCCCCAAAAGTGATATATCGGCCTAGATTTAAAAGCTTGGCCTGGTGAGTCAATGCTCAAAGTAAATGGTGTTAACTTCCAGCTATATTTATAAATTATATTGAATGGTTTGTGACAACTAATTGAAAATTCCATAATCGAACATCAACTATAGAGAAAAAGAAAATAGCAATTTGGTGATCATCATTTTTTTTGGGGGAAATTTCTTACCTGTCATTTTGGATGGCAGGTGGAAGCTGGTTCTTGTAAGGCGGAAGCATTTTGGACTCAACGGTGTTGTAGAAGAATCCCACAAATAATATAATGCCAAATACAACAAATATTCACCCCGTCAGTTGATCTCTAGACAAGTATATCATCTTTTCGCCTTTCTTGGGTACACATTGAACCTCCGATCCTCAAGAAACACTAAACAAAGGAGAGAACCAGTAAATTTGAAAATTTCAACAGAGAACAGTTTAATCAGTATGTTATAAATTTCAGGATCTCTCAGAGCATGACTCAAAAGAGCTTTTTTTGAGATAAATTGAGCCTGCTACACTAAGCAAATAGCACATAATATAATAACACAATACTAAGTTACGGACCACTGCTTCGTTTTTCACAAGGACACAAAAGTCTTTGAAGTAAACGAATAATGAATGGACGAATAGTTTGGTACTTGAGAAAATGACCAGGTTGGGTGACTTCTTGCCGCACACACAAAGTTGTAGCTTGCCACGGCTAGCATGGTACCTCTGAATGACAACAATTTTGCGCTCCTGCACGGCCACGCCTACCAGTAATGTCTACTGGTCCGGCATCAATCATTAGCCTTTTCTCTAACTTCACTATATCTTTTAAATTTACCTTACCTCCGTTTTCCTTCGATGCAGAACCATCGAACCAAAGCACCTTAATATTAAGATTTTATATTGTACTAGATGATATGTTGATTTTGTTTGTGGTTAATGGATGGATAGCTAATGCACTCAACAACCTTGCAGATGTAAGCATGCACGGTCCACCCTTATAAACGATGCATTGACTATGTAGCCTCCTAACTATCTTATCGGACATTGCTACCACCCAAACTAAGTTGGAGGTAATCAAGGCTCTTGAGAGAGAGTGAGAGTAATTACAATCATGATGGATTTTTACAGTGCAATATGTTATGAATGAGAAGCGTATTGAAATACATCACATGACTCAATCTACACGGACGTAGAAATAACTCAACACCGCTGGTTTTTGAGTAGAAGAGGAGAAACTAGCAATGTAGCATAATGTCGAGGTGTTTGTAAGTGCCCTTTAGAGGAGCGTAGATGCTGACGAGTGGCAGCTCAGTTGGATAGAGAAAGTTAATGTGTTGGGTGGGCAGAAAGGGATAGAGGATGTGGGCGCCAGCTGCCCACAGTCTATTCGCCATTGGGGCCAAGATGTGGACTAAGACATAATACACCCTAGGGCAAATCGTATTTTCAGGAAACTTGGCGCATGACGTGTGTAAGGAGTATTCCCCAAAACTTGGCGCATACTCCTAAGACTTAGCGAGGTCGTTTACAAGACGCTTTACCTTCTACATGGCCGGTCTAATTGAAACCCTAGACCCCCTGGTACATATTTAAACCAAGGTGTAGGGTTTATTTGTGACAAACATACCATGATATCATGGTATACCAAATTGTACTTTATACTCCATCCAAATCAATCAATACAACCGAAGCATGATGTAGGGTTTTATCTCTTCGGAGAAACTGAAACTAGGTAAACCTCTGTCCTTGTTGCCATCACATCTAGGCTACTAGTTAGGGACCCCCTACCCGAGATCTATTGGATTCGACTCTGCCGGTAGGCTATTCTATCAATGTAAACATGGATGACGTGTCATTTGCGTTGAAGGAAGCATGCCACAGCGAGGAGCGGGAGGTGGTGTCACTGAAGATTCGAGAGTTTTCTACTTGCGCATATTTCTTATAGTGTACAAGGCTGTAATGTTGGGCACGCTTTGGTTTTCAGTTCAGGCTCCAAACTTACGTCTCTCACTAGCTTGGCAAATCCGTGTTTAGTGTAAAGACTAGGGTGAGCTACATGGGCAGTAGAGCAAAAGCACACACATGTAACCATATCTCTTTGGAGAAATGGCAATTAAGGCTTAGTACAACATGCACTGCAAGATTGGCTCAGAAAATTTATGGATGAATGATAATATGCACACCAACCTTTCTCAGCCAAAGCATGAACGCCACTTATAAAGAAAGCATTGCTCTCTGTAGTCTCTTGTAGCCTCTACCTTTGTTATCTGTATAGTACTAGAACCTAAACAAACATGAACATGGTCAAGGGTAGAGAGAGGGAGGGAGGGAGATAGGGAGATGGAGGGAGAGAGGGAGAAAGAGAGAGATGTGACAATAGACGATGCAATCCACTATGAAATATGAATGGAAGGCATACGGAAACGCATCATCTCGAGAAATCGTATGGAACCTTAGGAGTTCGAGCCTCCCAGTATTTTTCAGGAGGGAAGCCTTCTTGTCAACATCAGTGTCGTCGACCTCCTCATCGTCCTGGGCTGCTGCCACGGACGGCTCGCCCTTTGAGACCACACTGCTCAGGCCTGGTGCCTTGAACTGTTCCGCCGCTTGTGTCTGCAGCTCAGTGCTCGGGTCCTCGACCTTGATCTCCCCGAACATGACGTAGGTGTCTGACTGCGAGCTCTTGAAGACGTCTGGCTTGGAGAGGACATACACAACCTGCAATTATGTGGAGAAGTTAAGAAAATGCAACAGCCACCAGCATATAATTATGCCACAGGGAACTGCGCCCTGAAATGGTCAAGATGCTCACGTTCTTGCTCTTCTTGATAGTTACACGGCTCACACCAATAATGGCCTTCATGTCAAGCTTCTCCATGGCTTTTCTGCTCTTCTTCTCACTCCTACTCTGCCTAGAACTTCCACCAGCATCACCACCTAGTCCCAGAGAGCACAGATGTATATTGTCAGATTTTCAAAATTTAGCGCAAGACCAGAATTCTACAACTCAACTAGACATAGTTAGGGTAAGGTACAAAGGATTAGCTACTGGTATAATGGAAATTCCAGCATCACTTCATACTAAATGCGTTGAAATGGTTCACCTAACAGGATTATAATTGCAAAAGCAAGATTTTATATTCAGGATTTGCTCCTATCAAACTAAATGCTATAGCTGAACATTCATGTACTCCCTCCATCCCATATTAATTGACGCTGAAATGGATGTATCTAGACGTATTTCAGTGCTAGATAGATCCATTTCAGCCTCAATTAATATGGGACGGAGGGAGTATATGTTAATGCAGATTGACATTGATACAAGGTGCAACCTCAGTACGGAGGTGAACATTATATACAAATGGCAGGCAGCACTCAAGAGAACTATAAAGTGTGTAAACAAGCAGTGCTGAATAATTGAGGAATATGTGAATATGATATAGTTCCAAAAATATAAGAACATAAACCACAAAGGCATAGCGGTATACGAAAAGAACAGAATATTAGAGAGTACAAACTGGTCAGTGCCTAATGTTCAAATAAAAACAGGTAAAAGTGAACCAAAATAGGTAAATACAGAGTTTGTATCATATTGGGGAACAGATCAGACAACAATTTCTTAATTATGATAATGCCAAAATTTAGTCCAATAGAAAGAAAATAATCCAATTGATTCAGGGGTTGAAAAAGCAACATTTAATCTAAAATTTTGGTATGGGCGATAGCATCGGATGTTTAAATTTATGTTAGAACTTAGAAGGCAGCATCACAAATAGAAATAGGCTTCTCGGTAACTAAGTGGCTACTTGAACTGAATAGAAGGAACTGCAGAATTTCATCATACCCTCAACGCGATCGTCATCTTTTTCATCCTCATCCTCGTCATCGTCTTCATCATCGTCATCCTCCTCCTCAAGGATAGGCTCATCTCCCTGAGAGTATGCATTACCAATATCATATATTCTTGAACGTCATAAGTATTATACACTAAGCAACAGTCCCTTAGAACAGGGGACATGCAGAGGGGGGGAGCAGAGTTAGCCATATGCAGAAATGAAACAATGGTAAGCAGTTTACCCACAGTATTATCTTTTCAGCAGGAAGATGTGAGTACATACTAAGTAGTATCAGCACAAGATTAACATAAATGACAGTCCAAAAGACAAAAAAGGAATAGTATATACATTACAAGGAACTGTTGTCTGCATTGACAACAGAAACTATACTAGAAAAATTATATTGTTGGTACAGGAAATATGCAATACATCTTATAAGCATACACAAATACACACATGATACTAGGTCACAACTGACTTCCAAAGCTAATTAATAAATAAAGTAGCATTTCTACTGTAGCAATCACCAAAGGTGACTGATTTATGTATGCCCACTTAAAATTCCTTTCAGATTTGTATCCATAAGACAAAGCATTAGCATTGTAGTGTGCAACACTATGTATCTCTCAGAAATGAACCACGAACTTTATACAGTAAGGAACAACTAACACACAAATCACAAATCACAGGGTCACAGAAATTACAACAAAGTTAGCTCCAGAAAGACCAAAGGGTAGTATGAGCAAACTCTGAAATTGAACTCCTAGCTGGACAAGCAGGCATCACAAGGCCTGGGCTGGGCCGCTGCCCTCCCCCCATGAAAAACTGTAGGATAATAAGCGCAGAAACAAGGACAGACACAGAACTGCCAACCTAGGCGACATAAAGAGACGAGATCTACCGACCTAGCACCGCCGCCGCAACAAAATAAGCCGACGTAGGGCCCGAACCAAAATGGAGAGGCGAAATTATCATTTTTTCAGTCTGACACGGCGCCAAATCGGAGAGGGGGGAGGGGTCGGAATGGAGGATCACCTCGATCCTCTGCTCCTCGAGCTGGGCGCGGAGAAGCTCGGCGACCGTCATGGTGGTGGGGCGAGGACGGGCGCGCGGGCGAACCTTGGCGGAGGCCGGAGGGGATTGTAAAACCCTAGGAGGGATTTGGGGGAGCGAACAGAGGAGAGGGGAAGCGAGGAAGTGAGTCTCTTTGCTCGTGTAGTGTGGGGGTTTTGTGGACCGGTCGGCGGAGACCTTACTGTTTGGGCCCATCTTGGGAATGTTTGGGCCCAAGTTGTGCAGCTCAGTTGGATAGAGAGAGAATGCGAGCTATGATGTTGAGCATGGCCTTAGTTTTCGTTCAAGCTCGGAAAGCACCGTCCCTCCCTAGCTTGGCAACTTAGTGTTTAGTGTAGTGGCCAATTGAGCTAGGGGCGGTCGAGCAAAATAATAATCCATCCTTCCCAAAATAAGTGTCTCAACTTTCTACTATCTTTAGTACAAAATTATACTAACGTTGAGACACTTATTTTGGGACGGAGGAAGTACTACATATGCAGCCAACCCTCTTTTGAGAAACTGCAATTGAGGATCAGGTACTACACATACTCCAAGACATGTTCAGAGAATAAATGGGCCAATACCTAATGATCTCACCAACCTTTCTATGTGAAAGCATGACCGACCCTTATAAAGGAAGCACTACTCTGAGCGGCCTCTTGTAGCCTCTAACTATGCTATCATGAGAGTACTAGAAGCCAAACAAATATGAACAAGGCCAAGGTTGACGGGCCAGAGAGAGCCGTGACAATAAATGATTGGTTGGACTGATGCAATCCGCTATGTCAATATCTAACCAGTTCAACGCGTGGTAAAATTTCCAAGTGTCAAGAAAAAGTTTTGATACATATTGCTCAATTATTTCGACATGTCAAGAGGATCAATCAGAAAGGGTCCAGGGGGTGGGTGTTGTTTTCTTTGTGACATAATTTTTTATGCGTGTAATGTATACCATTCCTAGTGATATATCAAACTTTTGGAATTATAAAAGGTTGCTATGCTATTTGTAGGAAATTTGCATAATTTAGCTTAGCAATGTTATGTTATACGCAAACATTTCTAATATGTTCTCTAGCAGCGTTTGTAGCATTTAGCAAATGCAATAGTTTTAGGTTTTTTCCCCTGAAACCATTGATATATTTTTCTTTGTGTGTTACAAAATACCATGCTACCAAATTATTTTGTTGTCCTTTTTGCCTTTGTTTCATGAACATAATTCATAAATCCAAACATTCATGACACGGCAGGTGATATTTACTGGAATTTATGTTTTCCGTAGAGGCAGTGTGTGGGTGTGTATGTGTCCGAGAATGGCATGGTGTTTTTGTTTATTTTGTGACATAATTTCTTTTATGCATTTTGTTTGGATTTATGAAAGATTGTATGCTATTTGTGAAAGGGTATTGCATAATACACTAGCAGCGTTCAAGACATCCAAATGCTAAGGAGTGTACTAGCGGCGTTTGCTACCTTCCAAACGCTGCCGGTGCTGTTTTAACATTTTAGGTGTTTAAGCACAACCATTTTTCTTTTGCCTTCAAATTTGTATGAACAAATAAATTTAGTATATACTTAACTATTTATTAACATAATATTTGAAAAATACAAAAAAAATATGAAAGCCAAAAGTTACCAAAATACTTATTATACAATATTTTCTATATTAACACTGTTCATGGGAACACAAGCTGCGCTTCATATACTTAAACGATGTTGGTGTTATTTGTTTTGCCTTCTAACTTGTATGAATAAGTTAAACATAAATAATGGTCTACTACAAATTAGAACACAACAACTTATTGTAAAAAGGATTTCTAAATATAAATATAAGTTTGTCGGAACATGGGCTTCGGGGACCCAAGGAAGGTTCGAATTCTAGGGTGTGCTCAGAGAACTTCGCTGCGCTTGGCCTCGCTGCTCACTGCCTCACGGCGATGCTCCAACGTGCTTGAGCGAGAGGGAAGAAGGATCAGAGACACGACAGTTTACCCAGGTTCGGGCCACCTTGCGGTGTAAGACCCTACTCCTGCTTTGTGTGGTTTATCTCATGAGGGAGGATGAATATCGGAGTACAAGTGGCCTCGGGAGGCTTTAGGAGCGGCTCCGGGCTTGAGGGGGTGGACAGACTCAATCTCGATCGGATCTGATCTCTCTCTAAGGTGGTGGAATGGCTATACTTATACTGGCCTCGGTCCTCTTCCCCCATAACGGGAAGGGTTGCCACAATGGCCGAATTCGAAGGGGGGTAGCAGTACAACTTATCCTAGCAAAAGCAGTCTCCGCCTGCTAAAGCTTCTAGGCATGACGCGTCGGTGGGTTGGGCGATGACCTCCGTCCTGGTAAACCCGCGGTCCTGGTCTTCTAGCACCGAAATGGAAACCTTCAGAGATTGCTTTGTGAACCGATGAGCTGCCCTGCTCCCTTAGCACGAAAGAGGAAATCTCCACCGCACGCGCCTGCTGGCACGGCTCCTGGCGCCGCTCGTCATGTCTTGCATCACCCACGTGCACCGCGAGGCGGGACTTGGCGACCTCAGAGTATCCGCTCGCATGAGGGCCTCGAGAGGCAGCCTGGGGATGCCGCCTAGCATGAGGCCTTGGTGTCGGGGTTATGATCCTGACGATGAGTACTAGGGGTACGAATAAGGGGGCAGAGACTAGCTACGACATAGGTGTAACACTCGGTGTTTAACGAGTGCAGGCCCCTTACTCGCTGGAGGTAAAAGCCCTACATCTCGTGCCCTGAGGCTTGCTTTGATTTGAGGGATATGGTTACAAAGATTCAACATGCCTGGTTGTGGAGAGGGGAGCGGCTAAATAGAGTGTGCTACAGCCCCATGTCTACCTCACCACCGGGGCAATTAATGTCATTGAATGAGACAATTACTAGTGTAATGAGCCTCTATACTGCGGTTACAGGTAACAGTAGCTATAACTATATTTAGTGGATGACTTAGGATTCTTCGACCATTGCAGCTCCCATGACGTCTTCTTGTCCTGTACGTCCGAGTGGTAGCTCGTCCGCCGGGTGACGTGTGATTGTCCGAGTGCTGCAGAGCCGCTCAAGTGGTCCTCCTGATGTATGCATCCGAATGCTAGCATGGTCCAGGGACCTACCTATGATGGTGATGGGCCCTATGTGGGTCCCAAATGATGGGTCCTTGACCCTACCTGTAATATGTGACCACATCATTAGCCCCCAAATCGGTTGGGATTTCGTGGGACAAAGAAAACGACCATTCTGTTGAGTCCAAGTGCTGCAGGGGCACTCGGAATATGTTTCCGAACCTTGATTCATTGTTACTTGGACGAAAACACAACGGATTCTGGACTTTATGTTTACCCAGATGACCGGGAGATGTCGATCGTCGAGAAAAAACCTGGTGGCATTCGTTTTGTCTCTCGGAGGAGATAGACTAGGGGCCCGAGTGAGGGCATGCCAATAAAACCCGAGTGGCGTCGCCGACGCGTGGTCTGACTCTCCAAGGAGACGCCACTCCTTATCCCAGGGGAACGCCAACGCAGGCCTCCTACAAATCCAGGTTTACGAGTCATGCGCCTTGGAGCCTACCGAGAGGGCCAACTGAACCCGCAGAGGGGCGTCAAGCTCGTCACATAAAGATCCTGAAGAGGACTTCAATCGGGTGTTTAACGTGGTTGAGTGCATGGGTCCCCGTGGAGGGTGGTCATTCAGACTGACGCGCGTCCTTTAGGAAAGGAATCGCTGGTAATTAATCAGATTGATTTGTCCCGGAAATCTCGGGATTTGAATTTGTGCGCTGAAGCGGTAGCGTCGTGCATTGGTGGGAAAGTGGGGACGTGGCTCCTCGATTTGCGAGCACAATCCCCGCCATGCGTCGCGCCTGTCCTATGCAAAGCCTTGCCATGCGGGCCGTCGATCCAGGGATTGGCGATGAGAGATCCGGCCAGAGATTTTGTCCGACGATATAAAAGTTTTGAGGACAGAGCCCTGGGTCTCAGATCCCCTTTCTTTCCTTCCGAATCCTCTGTTTCTCCTCTCCATCCGAGTGTGCGGCGATGGTGAGGGACTCCATAGCCAAGGTGGAGAAGTTGAAGAAGGCGGGGAAGGCCACTTCCTCCGGCTCTGGCGCGGCGGCTGGCGGCACGGCGGGGGACTGGATCGCATCGCGCGTCCCCGCTCAGTGGATGGAGGAGCTGGCGGATGAAGGGCTGATCCCGCGCGATGGATGGCATCGTCCAAGTGCGAGGGAGGTCGAGCCGGCGCCTCAGGAGGACGAGCGCATCCTACTCGTCACCTACGTCGAGCGAGGTTTCTCGATGCCGCCCCACCCCTTCTTCCGGGCGTTCCTTGACTTTTTCGGTGCTCAACCCATCACCTTCCTATCCAATGGCATTATTTATCTCTCAGCCTTCATCTCTCTTTGTGTGAAATTCTTGGGTTGCACCCCCACTGGGGCCTCTTCCAATAAATGTTCATGTGTCGACCGATGGCCGTGAAGAAAGACTTGTTGAGGGGGGAGAAAACCCATCTCACCCAGCTATGCAGACGTATGGGTATCCAAGTATGCGGGAGGAGGTCTTTCCCCAAAATGAGCTTTCCCGACTCCGTCAAGGGGTGGCAGGGGACTTGGTTCTACTGTAGGGACATCCCCAGCACCCACACAATCAGTCAGGCCTCCCGCCGTACTCGTCTGAAGGAGTCCGGGCTCCGCCGACCCACACCGTGGCGAAGGAGGAGAAGGTGCGCGTCGACATCTTGTCTAGCACGTTGATTGTAGTTGTGAACGCTGGGGTGAACGGTATGGACTTGCTGGAGGCTTTCTTCAGTCAGCGCATCCAGCCACTTCAGGCCAGGGCCCACCCTATGTGGCTGTACGAGGGGCTGGTTGACTCCACTCGAGTGCATACTGAAGATCTCACCTAGAAGGAGGTGGGCGCCAAGATCAAGGCCATCACCTGCGCCCGAGACAACCCGTGGGCCGAGGACTCGGTTCGTGAGCCATTCACAAGGACTTGCCGCCCATCGAGGTATTTGCTTTTAGTTCAGTC